AATCCAAATAAAAATCAATCTTTAATAATAATAATTTAAAAGTGCCTATAGCCTCAACTTCAATTGATTTACCATCGCCTACATAGATGAATCTTTCAACATCATTTAGTGTTCGACTGTTCAGGCAACCCTGTATAGACACACTTATATGAGTGGCACCGGAATCAATCCACCAAGTAGGTATTGAAGCTAAATTAACTTGAAAACAAATCAAAGTGAGAAACGTACACAATCCATTTTCAAGTGTCTCGGGATACCACAAAAGTAGCAACCAGATGATTCATTTATTTCAGACTTTTGATGTTTCTTTTGAGCTAGACTAGGTATAGCTTCTTTATTCTTTCTTTTCTTAACCTTGTCCTTATAGGTACTAGCCAAGCGAATGCTTTCAGTCCTTTCTTGCTTTAGTCTTTCTTCTTCTTGCACATAGCTTGAAATGAGCTCATTTAGAATCTACTTCTTCTTTTGGGAGTTGTAACTAATCTTGAATTGATTGTATTATGCAGAAAGAGAAATAAAAACCAAATGTATAAGCAAATCATCAAGCAGTTCAAGCTTTAGAGCATTCAGTTTTAAAGCAATATGAGACATTTTCATGATGCACTCCTTAATATTTCATTCACCTTTATACCTTAGTGAAATTAATTTCGCCAGAAGCGTACTAGTGTCGCCCTTATCGGTTTTTGCAAAGCGTTTTTCAATTTCATCAAGAAATTCCTTTACAGTAGTTACCTTATTAGACACAGCGCCCCTAAAAAATTCTGGAATACCACGCTTCATGATCATAAGACTAATGCGGTTTAAACGATTCCACTTATCAAAGTCCCTTTTTCATCAGTGAAACTTTTATCCGTAAGTGCAGCGGGTCGTTCAGTCCTTAACGCAGGGTCTAAGTCCATGCAGCTAAGAACGATCTGAATGTTATCTTTCCAGTCCTTAAGTTGGTTCCATTTAGTATAGGAATACAATTGATGTTGGCAGATATTGTAGAAGTAGAAGAGTTAACTGAATGGAGAACAAAACTAAAGAAACGTGTTTACATTAGAATCTGCATCAAACAATTAATTAATTCAAATAATGGTATCACAAGAGACCGAGCACAATATTGATATTCAGTCTTTGGACAGAAATGTTAACTTTTAAGTGGTACTCTTGGCGCAATAATCAAATATTGACAATAAATTCGATCAAACATCAAGTCTATCTTTGCACCGATTCAATATTCACTTAATGAAAAACTTTACAATTGCCACATATTTATTACTACATGTATATAAATAATTCTGCCAAATATTGACCTGCCTTTGAGCCGGTGAATATCCGCATGAATTACGTACACACAACATTCCCAATATTCCAAATAAATTAATCTAGACAAGAGATGTTACTTTGGTAACATGTTGCTTCAATTAATTTATTTTAAAAAATAAGTTATCGTAAAAAAAAATTTAATACAACAATTTTAATTTTAATTGTTGAATCTATAACCTTTTATTTTATTTTATTTTTACTTTATTTTAAATTTAAAGCAAATATATATATATATATATATATATATATATATATATATATAATTGCAGCAAAAACGAGCACAGCAAGTCCAAAATCTGGGCGCTGCATGCTCCTGAAAATTTGGGCGCACATGAGCATAGTAGAAATTGGGCGGGCCTAGAAATCTAGGCACCATGCCGCAGTGCCCATGGTTCGAATGCAGCATTGGAACGTCGTGTTTAGGTGCCGCAGTGCTGCGTCATTGTTTTAATGTTGAAAAAATTGCCTTAAATCTAATATTTGATATCTAGGGTTTGAAATTCACATCCGAAATTTTTTTAAATTTTTATACAAAACCTAATTATGAATTTCAACCCTAAAATCCTTTCTTTAATAATTCTGAATTTCAAAATTTATGGCTAAAATTCATATTCCAAATTAAAATATTCCAAAACTCAATATATGAATTTCAACCCTAAAATCATTTCTTTAATAATTCTGAATTTCAAAATTTATGGCTAAAATTCATATTCCAAATTAAAATATTCCAAAACTCAATATATGAATTTCAACCACAAAATTCTTCCTTTAATCTCAATGGTATAACATGGCTCTGATACCACTTATTGAATATTTATGAAATTTAAACTTTACAAACTTTACATAATTGCCAAGATCCCTATGTCAAATCGCCAAGAAAAATAATTAATGCGGAATATACCTTAATCCATTAATTTGTATCTTGATTGATGAATATTGAATTATAATATTTAAATGTTCGCTTTCGAATCTTTAATCTTGAATCTTAGTTATGGATTCTTGAATTCTTCTTCTAGACTCTTGAATATAGATTGCATGTTCTTGATTGTGGGTTTTATGGATCGTCCTCTTCAATATGCTTTCTCTATAATTCTTGTGTTAATGAGATGTTAAAAGAATAAGAAATTGCATTTGAATTGGAGACAATAACATTATATATAGTTTCCATATATATTTCGTTCATCGTGAAATACAATTCGAAAGGAATCTAATCTCTACACACATAATGTGACTCAAACTCTATTTAGATGCCCTAGGCCCAATTACTTAATTCTTTATTAGATCACTTTAATTTTGGGCATAACTTTAAAATAGCTTTTATACACAATTAGTTACATATGTTGGCCCACATGAAAAATTAATAAAATCCCAATAGTTTCAATTTTTATGATTATGTTCATTTTAGCTATGAACAACACTTGGGTTTCATAAATATTTTCGAAAATTTTGGCTTGAAAAATTCTAATAGAAGCTGTCCCACTTCACACTTACATATGTGACCTCATATTGAGAAATTCTATCATACTCGACTTGACCTAATTAAGTTATAGGCATCATTAAAAGCGTAACTTAACATTTTAATACTTTGCACAAAGCACATTAATTATCATAGGAATGAGTAGGAATTATTTCCTAAGTGTTTCAAGGAATCTTCATAATTTAGTTGCCATATTGAATCAAGATCTCTAGTCAACAATGTTGGATTACCATTACAAGGACTCGTATGTAGTAGCCTTTAATCACATTCCCTTTGATAGGCAATATTTTTGATCTCTTGATAAGCCTTTTGTAAGCGGATCTATGATATTATCATTTGATTTCACATAATCAATGGAAATAATATCATTTAAAATCAACTGAGTAATGGTATTTTATGTCTAGACTTAGCATAATACATACAATTTAGTGTCCTTCCAATAATTGATTGACTATCACAATATATACCTATTGTATGCATCGACTTAGACCAACATGAAATGTCCTCCAAAAAATTACCAAGTCATTATTGAGCTATACAAGTTTGTTTTGTGGACTTCCAAGACACAGCATCGCCACCAATAGTAAAAATATAACCACTAGTAGACTTGAAATCCTTTATATCGAATATCCAATTAACCTTACAATATCTTTCTAATACAGTAGAATATTTTGTGAAGTATAATCTAAAGTTTAAGGTGTATCTTAGAAATCCAAGAACACTACTCAATTCCTTCAAATGATTATTGCTTGGATTACTCGTGAATCTATTAAATTTCTTAAGTACACTTTCAATATAATGAGATTAAGAAAAACAATTTCATCAAATGTCATAGACATTTTAATCCTTAATACTACATTTGTCATACTCATCTCCTTCATATCGAAATATTTCGTTAACATCTTCTTAGTGTTTATGATGATATAATGACTATTGCCCATAATTAACATACCATCAACATACATACATAGTATTACATGGGCTTTGTGTGTGTGTTTTATGTATATACATTTGTCACACTTGTTAATTTTAAAATCATTTGATAACATTGTTTTGTCAAACTTTTGGGGTCATTGCTTTGAAGCTTACTTCAATCCATATAGAAACTTAACGAGTTTGCAAACATTCCTATCTTGGTTAGGAGTAATAAATCTTTTAGATTGCTCCATATATTTCTTCTTCTAACTTACCATTCAAAAATGCCATTTTTACGTCTATTTGATGAATCTCAAGGTTATGCAATGCAACAATTTCAATTAATACCTTATCAAAGTGATTCTAGCCACAAGTGAGTTGGTATCGAAGAAGTCAAATCATTCTTTTCGCCTATGGCCTTTTACAACCAACCTAGCCTTATATTTATCAGTAGATCCATCCAATTTCAATTTTTCTTGAAAATTCAATTATACCCTAAATGCTTATTTCCAGATGTTAGATCAACCAACTCGCAAGTATGATTTTGCATCATAGATTATTTCTCATTATTGATAGCCTATTTTCAATACAGTGCTTCTAGAGTAGACATTGTTTTACTAAATGTCTTAGGATCGTTTTCTACCATATAAGTTAGAAAATCAGGATCATAAGAAGTTGATGTGCTAGCCCTCTTACTGTGCTTTGTTCTTCATCATTTAAAGGAATACCATTTGCAGTTTGGCTCAAATTAGTCCCAAGGTATTCATTTTTAGTAAGAAAATAGAAGTTCAACACGATTAATCGAAGAAAGAAACAATGTTTTGCTTATTCCAAGGATGAAAAGAATCAAAATATAACAAGCAAAATGACAAAAAAAAAATCATCTTAAACTTATTAGGATATTGTGTGTGTGTGTGCGCACACGTGCGCGCAAATTATAATTGAAACTAAAGCAAAAAATTAAATAAATAAATAAATAAAAGTAAAACTTACTTCGAATGAAAACAGAAGTTGTGGAAAAATGAAGAATACAAAATTGAGACAAGTATTTAACACTCTTTAAGACAAATTTGTCCCGCAACAATGCTTACGGAGTCTTGGCAATCATCTCCCAAAATACAACAGTTCTTCCTTGTTGTAGAAACACTTCAAACTTCAAGGAAACAATGAACTAGAAACATAATTTTCTCTCTACTATTTTGACTTTTTGATGCAAGAAAAACAACTTTGATGGAGTGTTTTTATATAAATGCAATCAATGAATATAATATGGAATATGATTTGTGACTAGAGAGACATGTCTCAAAATTCAGCATATTTCATAAAGGGATGCAGCCCTTCAGGCTGCTTGCTAGCTGTCCGATTAGATGCTCAAGTGCTCAAAACAGGGACCCGCCACACGTTGGCCGCTGTTGGCCCCCTTGAGAAGCGGTCTTATACAACCAAAATTTTGTTTCTTCCTCCTATAGTCGGACAACAATTTCTCATTATTTCAGAATTAATTTTGAGATGTCAAATATATTATTATCATCTACTCAACTAGTAGAATAAGTTAATCTATTCACTTGAGTGATTTGACTATCGAAACCTATTCAAATATATGACCATAGTTGATACAAAATCAACTTTATTAACATTAATTAACCAAATTCCAACATTTGTACTTGCAGGTGCAAAGAAGTGTTAGTGATCCATCTCTTCTAGTAGCCACTTATGAAGGCAGACACAACCACAAGAGTCCTTCTGAAGATGAAGTTTCAATAGAACTATCAACGGCTGCAACTGAAATTACTTCCTCCAGCTCTATCTCTAAATCAATGGTTGAACAAATGGCTTCCACTATAACAAGAAATCCCAGTTTCACAGCAGCACTAGCAGCAGCTGTAATAGAGAGAATTTTAGATCATGAAAAAGAAGAAAATTGATTAAAAAGAAAATAAAAATTCAAGGATTGCAATCTTTACTTGCATCTGAGTTGATCTGGGGAATGTAAAGTATAGCCAAAAATTGTTGAATCTGCGATTTTGGAAGCAATGGAGTTGTGGATATTGTTTGGGAATCCAGATTGTTTTCTGTTTTTGTTATGCTTGTTGTGGATGAACATAAATAAATAAATTAGCGATAATTATGGCTCGTTCTATGATTGTGGGTCCTAAAAGAATACGTATTTATTGTTTATATATATCTATATTTTTAGCGTACATACTACCCCCCTCCTCTCCCCCCCGCTCCCTCTCTCCTATTTATTGTATTCAATTAAGATTTTTAAAGACTTTTGGAGACTTTTTAAAGTGGGTGACTTTTGTGGACTTTGTGGAATTTGAAGTGACTTCTATGGATTTGGTAGGAATTAATAAAAGTTTTCTCTGGATTTGTGGAGACTTTTACTAGAGACTTTTAAAAACTTTTGAAGACTTTTTATATTTTTAAAAGAATATATTAAACATATATAATGTAATATATTTAATTTCTTATATATTCAAATCGTCCACGACTCACATAATTGAAAATGTAAAGTAATAAATCGTATTTTTCATGTCAATTTTTTTCCAAAAAAAAAAAACAAATATTTTGCCAAACATAAAGTGCCTTTTCGTCTTATATCAAGTAAATTAACAAATAATAAAAATACTAAAAAAAAGGTATTTTAGTAATGATCAACAAAAAATATATATATCAAACATTTCCAACATCATTCCACATGTTCGCTGCTAGAGAAGCCCTCCATGCATTAGCATTCTCTCTTTCTTGTTCTTGACTCTCAAAAAATGGTCCAAAGTCTTCCCCCTCATTAAGCGAAAAAGATGAAGAATCTTCATTATCGGGTTCGATTGGAAATTCATCGGATCGACATTCTTTCCGAAGAAAATTGTGTAATCCTGCACAAGCTAATACAAATTCGGCTTGTGTACGATATGGAAATGGAGGAGCTGTTTTGAAAATTGTGAATCTTGATTTAAATATACCAAATATCCTCTCAACTACGTTCCTCAAGGAAGCATGAGGAAGATTAAACAACTCTTTTGTATTTTCAGGGTCACGACTTTGACCAGCAAAATCTTGAAGATGATAACGGACACCTCGAAAAGGAGTTAAAAACTGACGTCGATTTGGAAATCCACAGTCGCCCAAAAAATATTTACCTGAATGATAAAATACTTGTAAAGTTAACAAGTAATTACGAAACAATAAGGTAAAAGAAAAAATGAAATAATAAAGTCGTACTTTGTGGCACTTTAAGTCCATTTCTCCTTGTTAAAGCATCACTCAACACTTTAGAATCATGTGCTGATCCCTCCCACCCACTAATCACGTATATAAATTCCAAATCAAAGTTACAAGCGGCCAAAACATTCTGAGAAATTGTTCCATGACGATTTCTGTAACTGCTTGTATCACGTCCAGTTACTATTGCTGGAATATGGGTACCATCAATAGCTCCAATACAATCCTAAAAATAATAAAACAGTACAAAAAATTCACAAGAACACTAATGAAAACATAAAACAGAAATTATAATAAGTCTTCTTTCATCACTTACTTTAAAATAAGGATAAGATCTTGTACTTTCCCTTATTTTTTCTGGCACAACGAATCCCGGTTTGACCATCATATCTACCGCAAATTTGTTTAATGTCTGTAAAATCTTGTTGAAACTTCGACTAGTAGTGAAATGTGATCGACCAAATTTTTGACGAATCAAGCAATATCTACTATTTTGACCAACAATAAGTAGGAACGTTGCAAGCATCTCTTCAACACAAATATACCTAGTATCCTGTAAGGGTGTTTTTCTCTAATGATATTGCTTAGTTTTAGAAATATATCCGAATACATTCTATAAACTTATCGAAAGTTTTCTGGATCCTCCTTTAATATTTTATGTATATAGTCATATCCATATCTAGTTTTTGGTTGCCTAGTTAGTGAACGTGTAATATGTGCACAATGCATATTATTTACAAGATCATTTATTACGTAGAGAATTGCTTGAATTGCCATCCATAAATACCGCCTGGTTTCATATAATGCTTCCATATAGTCATCTTCTTCATTTTCATCCACTTCTTCTTCATGATCTTCATGTATGTTAACATTAGACATTATATATATGGAAGTACCTAAACATAGAAGGAACAAAAATTTAATACACAGACAAAGATAACGATAATGTGACATAAAATAAATCAATTGTCATCAAAGTAATAAAATATCAAAACAATACAACCAATAAATCAAACAAAAAACAATTCAAAAACTTCAAAAGTTACTACCAATCGTATCCAAAAAAACAAAGCCTCAATTTAATTTAAATGTTATCCATTTAGAACGTTCTTCGGGCGTCATGCTCAAGAACTCAGACTTTTTTGCTTTTGTATTAAGCAAATCAAGGACCTTAAAACGATCATCATCATCCAAGTTTGGAATCTCCTTGATAATGTTCCAACAATTAGGCTCTCTGGTGTCAATTGATTCAATTGCTTGAGTAATCTTGCCAACTGTACTAGCAAGTTTGTCTATAATATCTGATTGAGTGCTTTTGGGCTCAAACGAACTAGATTTTGCTTCAAATTATGTTCTACTTCGTTTTCGAATTGGTGAGGAAACCTCCGAACTTATAAAATCTTGCTTATTGCTTACTATAAATGTTTCAGTATCAGGATCATGCATGAAGTCATCTATTAAACTGTCAATAACTCTTCTTTCTTCAGTATAAAAAGTTCTTGCATCAGTATCATCCCCTAATGCAATTGAGTGTGTCCCAACAGCTGTCCCACTTCCAACTGCAATTCTCAAATCCTCATAGTCTGGAAAAGTGTTTGTGCGATAACTTTTATCTTTGGGATGTGACTATTAAAGAAAAAAATATGTATGAGTGCTAATATATGAATCATACACTTCACTAACCAATAACTCAAATTTCATATGTTTCTAAATCAAGTAATAAAAGAAGCTCACCATAAAGTAATCGTCCCATACTTCATCACTAGCAGTGAATTTCTTCGTCACATGATCCCATCCGAACCCAGAGTTATGACACATAAGCTTAGAATACTTGTTGTAGTGCTTTTTAAACCATTTCACACGACTTTTATATTGGGCATAAGTCTTTTCAACCCCAAGTTTTTGGTTAAGATGAGGAAGTCTATGTTTTTCTACAGTTATCTTGCTCAACAGACCATTACTATCACGCCAACCACGTGCGGCAACATCAACCATGAGTTTTAAAAGCTCATTGCTTTCTTCCGACGTCCATTTCTCATATTTTTCGGTACCTTTTCCCTGAACCTTGTCATTTCCTTGTGTTGAATCTTCCATTAGAACTACTGTCATATAATTAGAGAATAAATATTTAGGAAAATACAAAATGATATACAACATGAGCAACAAAAGGTCAAGCAAACATAGCTACTTGAGTTCCAAAAATGGACATATCAATATTTATGAAGTTTCCTCCATATGACACACTTAAGATTGAGCAAATGATTTGAGTCACTACTTTTAAGTTTCTAATATTTATTTTTTATTTTTTTGACAAATATATCCTTCTTTCTTTAAAAGTTTTTCCAAATTCTTTTTCATTTATTTACTATTTTTTTTGTTGCACAAATTTCAAACAATCCAAGTATTCTAATAAAGTTAGATAAAGTGACGAGATTTCATAGTTCACTAAGACATTCTCTCTTTCTTTTGCATGACTTTAATTATCTATCCATTCTCATCAAACTTGGCAAACTCAACAATGTTTATAGTCCATTTAAATATCCTAGTCTTCCTCGATAAATTTACTCTAAATTATTGAATTGGACCAGTCAAATTGCGGAATTTGGCAGTTCTCCAAGCTAGTTGATTGCACAAGAGAACCTCAATAGAGAAAAAATGGTTCTTTATGCAAACTATGAAAGACCCATGGCTAGTGGGAGACTGATGGAACCTTAAAGTTCTAGCAAGTGAAAATACGATGAACTTGTGTTTTTCCCAGTGAAAAGTGTTAGATATTTTTCATCATTTTGCATGTGTTTAACTTTTTGTTTTGCGAATGATTTGTCGCCCTGATTAGTGTTTGTCGCTGTGCAAAGAGAATTTTATTTTCAAAAGTTTTTTTGACAGTCACTTCCAATAAAAGTACGCAAGGATTTCAAGGAATAAACACTGATTTACTGTAAAAGGAATAAACACTGATTTACTGTAACTTTATAGGAAGTTTTTGATAAAGACCAATTCAAGGCCGACGACAAGATGGGACAGGCTCATATCAATCTTCAACCACTAGCAGCTGCTGCCAGATTGAGAGATATCCTCAATGTTGCAACAAATGGAACGACACTCAGGAAGGTGATTCCCCAGGAACGTTAAATTTACCTACGAGACTAACATCAACGAAAAATTCAGCAAAATGAATATTTACCTATGAGACTACACATTCACAAACATATAACCAAACACAAAGTTACCCACACAGATCATACCAGTGATTTTCTGTGGGTATGTTCAGAAATCAGAAACTCTCCAAAATTGCTTTCTTCGAGTTTGCAAATTTGGAGATGGGTTTATCCATAAACCAAACATATATAAATTATCCAAAGCTTCTTCAGCTACGGGTCAAGTTAGGGCATACAAAAAGGGGTTGCAGAGTAGAGAGCCAGCACATCTAGGTTACGGGGATGAATAATGAAATTTCATGATCAACCCGCAAACACAAGGTAGCAATTCATCCAATACTGACAACGTTTAATGGGAATTAGCAAAAAACCATTTCAGCAAGATTTTTCATTCGAGAGAGGTATGATAGACAATATATATATTTACTACTTATCTAATTTGCTAACGTATTATCCAAACCTTGTGTCCTTGTTCAATGATTTTTCTTTTTCTTGAAAAAAGCTTTTTGAATAATGTTTTAGGAGAGCGAATGTAACGAAATTTTTTTGGATTTATTTGTAAAATAATTTTTTGAAAATAATTAATATCAAAAGGAGGCCATAATGTTTTGTGGTTCGCAAATTGATAACATCAGCTAAACATATGCTATGTTTTTCGTGTTCATATAAACGAAAACCTGCCGGCGCCGTATTTGCAACTCTCCGATACATCACTTCCCGTTCCTCGTCTCATTATTTTTCCGACCTAAATTCACAAGTAATTTCCCCTGGGCCCCAATCCACTCTCTCATATTCACTCATCATCCTCACTTTTTCGACTCACAATGATCACTGCCCCTCAGGTACAAACGCCTCTGTTTTATTTATTTATGGATTCCCATTACTTTTGATTGATTATATTTCGTTCTTTCGTTTCAAGGTTGGATTTTTGGTGCCTCTGAATCCTAGTAACTTGGAGGAACAAAAGGACTCTTTTCAATTCCCAAAATTCCACTCGCTAGATAGACAGTATATATATTTACTACTTATCTAATTTGCTAACGTAATCATAGAGGGAGAGATAGAGAGGTGCAAAGCATGATTACCTGATTGAAGAAGATGGAGGAGAAACCCTATCGGTCGGCTTGTGAGAAATCTCTTGATGGATGAGAGATTTTTGTTGTGAGAGTTCTATGGACGGTTTCTGCCATAAGTCTCTGGAAGTCTACGAAAATATTAATTCCCCAAAAGTCTTTCTTAATTGAATACCCCGAAACTTGTAGAGACTCTTATAAAGATTTAATTGAATACCTTGAAACTTATAGAGACTTTTTAAAAGTATTTAAAAGTCTCTATTGAATACACCCAGACTTTTAGAGAGTCTTTAAAAGTCTCAATTAAATACACCGAAACTTTTTAAATCTCCCAAAGTCTTTAAAAGTCCCAATTGAATACACTCCTTAGTCTTTTGGATAAATATATATGTACATAGGGGGATAACCAAATGGTGTCCCCCTTTCACAGTGTATGGCAGGCCTAGCGTGTATTTAAAAATAACGGCCCTTGGTATCCACCTCTGTTGTAAGTACTAGGTAAGAGAATAGGTAAAAAAAATCGGTATGTCCAGCATTGTCCTAATCTTTTATGGGTTACATATTATGGATTGAAAATCAATGCTAGACTTACAAAAGAAAATTCACAGAATCTTTACAGAATTTAAAAGGAAGGTGACGTGTTGGTGAAAGGTAGGGGAGAGACTGTTGGCTTGGAGAAAAGTATTACAAAAATTCATTAAATAACTCATGTTTTTGTCTTAATTTTCGAGCTCATACAGGATATCAAACAAAGTCAAAATATTACATTTTTAATGTTATTTTAAAGTACTCACGGCCTAGTATCTTACGTCGTTAATTGTGCATGAAATGGTCAATTGTTATAGCATGCAAAAATAGGTCGTTCCAAACTAATATTTCGATAACAAATTAACTTTAAAAATCCTTCAACGATTGTAAGCTAGTTGAATCCATGAATCTTCTATATCTTCTTGAAATTCATTTTGAGAACTATATAACAGACATATTGAATGATTTAAATGAATATAAAAAATAGTTAAATGTACGTTAAACATGTGTTAAAAAGAATTTGTCTTTTAACAAAAAATTAATTATTTTATTAATGTTTATTATTTTTCTACAAAAATTTCTCAATATAATTTACATCATTTTATTAAGAAATTTTATATGTGGTATGACGTCAAAAAAATAAAAAATTTGGACATAAAAAATCATAATTAAATTTTTATTACTTCATATGGGTTATAAAGTGTTATACTACTTTGTCATCTTGATTATTTTTACATCCAAAAAAATTATATATATATACATGCTTCCTAGTATTTTTTTTTTTTATGTAAGTAAATTTTTAATAATTTTCTAAATGATCGAGAGATGACATTTTACATTAATGTAAAAAAATTGATATTAATGCTAAAAGAGACATCATTTAAAAATTTTAAATTTATTAGGAAATTTTCTAAATGACGTCAAAAATTTTATTGGAAATTTTATTAGATTATTTTTTTTTAAAAAAAATAGTCGATTGAGAGGAAAAAGTAACAATAATGAAAAAATCCCTAAAAATGATCCATTATATATATAAAGTAGTATACCAATTTATAACCTATCTAAAGTAATAAAAGTTTTATTATAAATTTTTATGTCAAATTTTTTTTTTTTTGACGTCATACCAAATATAAAATTTCTTAATAAAATGATATAAATTATATTTAAAAATTTGTCGCAGAAAAATAATAAACGTTAATAAAATAATTAATTTTTTTAAAAGACGAGTTATACGTTTCTTTTTTAACACACATTTGACGTAAGTTTAACCATTTTTTATATTCATTTAGATTATTCGATATGTTTATGATATAGTTCTCGAAATGAGTTTCAAGAAAATATAGAAGGTTCATGGATTCAACAAGTTTACAATCATCGATTTTTTTTTTTTAAATTAACTTGTTATCAAAATTCTCGAAATATTAGTTCGAAATGGCCTACTTTGACGCACCGTAACGATTGGTCGTTTCACGCACCATTAACAATGTGAAATATTAGGCCGTGAGTATTTCAAAATAATATTAAAAATGTAATATTTCGATTTCATTTGATATCCCATATAAATCCAAAAATTAAGATAAAAACATAAGTAATTTAATGAATTTATTGTAATATTTTTCTCAAAGCCAACAATCTTTCTTCTGCCTTTCACCAGCTCCTTACTAGTATAATACCCTTTAGGCCCTTAGCCCTTTCCAAAGATAAGTAATTTTGGGTTGGGAACTTCTCGGCTGCCCTGGACTCTATTCCATCCGGGCTTGAACAGGTCACCTTTTGAAATTCTATAAAGATTCTGTGAGTTTTCTTCTGTACATTTAGTATTATTGATTGAAAATAGCCCCTTTTTCTCCTAATTTACTGCCTTTTATCTAGTGCCCTGATAACGATGGGACCATTTGTGGTCGTACCTCTAGCCTGTAGGCCGGCCAACGACAAAGAAAAAAACTTGGAGCTATAGGTTCATTCTAAAAATATCCACAAATTTTTTAAAAATAAAATATTCAATGCTTTTTCACAAGCATGTCTAACCCTTATAATCTGTTTGGGAGTGATTTTGAGAATTAATTTTTTGACCGTTAGGAGAAAAGTGGGATCCACATGTGAGAGAAGAAGTCAAATTTGACGGCTGAAATAGTGAAATAACGGTCAAAAAATCAAATTTTTGGATGAAAAAATAGGACCCATGCAGGCCCTTAATCTTTTTAACAAATAATTTCGTAGAATATCGATTTGAACCAAAAGAATTAAAAAATCTCCATGTACTATAACTATATTTGAAAACGATTTAATAATATTGAACAATAATTCTATCTTTTATAGGAAGTAGGGAATCCCAACTTATTTTTTCAGA